AAGTTTAAGAGAGTGAGCACCTAATTGAAAAACATGTCATTAACATACCTTAGTCTTTGCTCCTCCTGAGTTTCTCCCGCGGTTATGTCTGTTTGAAAATCTTCTTCTGTTGCTAACTTCATGACTCTTTGGGGTAAATAGGATGTCTATGCAGTGAATAGGTTTACAGATGCGCCCCTTAGCGCCATCTATCGTCGGGGAGTTTGAAAAGGAACGAACGCGCTTTGGCCCAAAAAAAGTTATTGCCATGAGAAATTGGTTGTGTGGCGTGAGTGCGTGTGTCACACGGCAGAACCGTGATAGTTGGTAGCTCTGCCTGTATCAATATCAGTGTTATCGGTAGTATGGTGTGTTGTTTTAGTGTGACAAAGTAAACATTTCAAATATTAAATGTGTAATTCTTTGGTCCAAATCGCTGCTAAAATAATATTTTTATTAAATATATCATTATAATATAGATTTTACACTAACTTTTTACTACAGGTAACGCAACTTCCGGTGTGCGTTGAGTCCCGACATGATACGGCTGCGTTCCTACAGTCAGTCATACGAGAGAGATCGACACGGCAGTTGAAGATGGAGAGAGCTTTTTGCATTGGAAGTCCAAAAAACAGGCGTGACAGACAGCGGATTTCATCCACGTGTCAAACAGAAGCGGTGAGTGGTAAACGGACCACATTAGCACTGATAGTGCCCGTAACATTTGGTAGCTGCTAGACTAAGCTAGGCTAGCGGCTAGGTTACTTCTGTCAACATATACAATAGTCACAATAGTGAATAGTTGTTAATTTATAAGATTTAGTCTTGAGAAGAAAAATACATTTTTAACTGTGATTAATGAATTAAAAAAATGTGACATATGTTAATTTTGTTTTAATCTATCTAGCAAGCAAACAGGTCAGAGCTCTGACGCAATATTGAGCTTTTCTGTAGATCACAGAGAAAAAGAGAGGGTCTCTCTTATCAATCGTTGACCTGCTGTGTTCAGGGGGACTTGGTGGCCTGCGGAGTGCTGTCTGGCAACAAGCAATTTGGGCACCTGTGTAACTGCGTGCGGGCCAACTACTTCAAATAAGACTTGAATCCTTAAACTCTCATTTTGTCAAAACACCACATGGTGATTGTTCACTGATTAGGGTGTCAAGCTATTGGTGTTTTGCATTTTGAGTTTCTGTCGAGGCCAATCAACCTTTTGTCTCCTAAACGACGGGGGAGCGGCCAGCGCAGCCGCAGCCGACTTCCACTAACGAGAGAGTATTTAACTAGAAATCGTGGGAAGCGTCAGCTTTAGCATTTGCTTATCCTCGCAGCACGAAGACGAGCAGGACAAAGACAAAAGAGTCTTTCGTGGAGTCTTCGGGGCGGCTGAATCCGGCGCCTTCTTCTGCTATTTTTAATAATGTGTTTGACCCCTTTACCCGTACCTGTTCGAATCTCTTCCCGCAGATACTACAGGCCTCGGGCTAGATCTGCTCTCTATCGTAACCTCTCCTCTCTCACCTATCCCACCCGCTCCACACATGTCCAGCACCTCGTCACAGGAGGTCTCTGGAACTGCCAGTCAAACCTCATCTCCGGCTTCGCTATCCAGCAGTCACTTGACTTCTCTCACCGAGACCTGGATCACACCTGAGAACACATCCACCCCAGCCGTCCGCCAGGCTCCTTAGGTAATTTCTTGGAAGAACTGGACATTCTCCTGTCTAATTTCCCTGAAAATGGACCTCTGCTCATCCTCCTGGGTGACTTCAACATCCAGACAGAGAAGTCATCTGACCTCTTACACCTACTTTCTTCTTTCGCTCTGTCACTCAGTCCCTCTCCTCCTACTCACAAAGCCGGCAATCACCTGGACTACATCTTCACTAGAAACTGCTCTACCACTAACCTCTCTGTAACTCCACTTCATGTGTCTGATCACTTCTTCATCTCTTACTCCCTTCCACTCTCTATAACTAACAAACCTCCCTCATTGACTGACTCTGTACCTGTTCGTCGCAATATTCGCTCCCTCTCTCCCTCCTCGCTGGCATCCTCTGTTCTATCAGCTCTCCCTTCAACTGATTCCTTCTCACTCTTGCATCCGAACGCTGCTGCAGAGACTCTCCTCTCAACTCTTTCCTCTTCTCTAGACTCTCTCTGCCCTCTTACGACACGACTGACTGGCATATCCCCTCCGGCTCCGTGGCTGTCTCAACCGGTGCGTGCCATGAGAGCCACCATGCGAGCATCGGAAAGGAGATGGTGTAAATATAAACCACCTGATGACCTGCTTAAATTTCAATCTCTCCTCTCCTCGATTTCTGCTTCTATCTCTGCTGCCAAAAGCTCTTTCTACCAATCCAGAATTGAATCTTCATTTTCTAACCCCAAAACACTCTTCTCGATCTTCTCCAATCTCCTCGATTTCCTCCCTTCAGGAACTTGGTGTCACAGGCTCTGCTCTCTCCCTTCTCTCGTCCTACCTCGACGGCCGCACCTACCGGGTAACCTGGCAAGGATCTGTGTCGGAACCTTGTCCTCTTACTACTGGAGTTCCTCAGGGTTCCGTGCTGGGTCCCCTCCTGTTCTCGCTTTACACCAACTCTCTTGCCGCTGTCATTTGCTCGCATGGCTTTTCTTACCACAGCTATGCCGATGACACCCAACTAATTCTCTCCTTCCCTCACTCGGACACCCAGGTGGCGGCTCGGATCTCTGCCTGTCTAACTGACATCTCTCAGTGGATGTCCGCCCACCATCTGAAAATCAACCCCCGACAAGACTGAACTACTTCTCTTTGCCGGAAAAGATTCGCTTACCCAGGACCTGACAGTCAACTTTGGAAACTCCGTGCTAACGCACACTTTGACCGCTAAGAACCTCGGCGTCACACTCGACAGCCAACTCTCCCTGACTCCCAACATCACAGCGACAACGCGATCCGGTAGATACACGCTCTACAACATCAGGAGAATACGTCCCCTTCTCACTCAGAAGGCAGCGCAGGTACTGATTCAGGCTCTTGTCATCTCCCGCCTGGACTACTGCAACTCCCTCCTGGCTGTTCTCCCTGCCACCGCCATTCGACCTCTGCAGCTCATTCAGAATGCAGCAGCTCGACTGGTCTTCAACCTTCCGAAATTCTCCCACACTACTCCACTCCTCCGCTCTCTTCACTGGCTACTGGTGGCTGCCCGCGTCCAGTTCAAAACATTGGTGCTTACGTACCATGCTGTGAATCGATCGGGTCCAGCTTACATCCAGGACATGGTCAAACCCTACATCCCAACCCGCACTCTTCGCTCTGCATCTGCAAAACTGCTCGTCCCTCCCTCACTGAGAGCAAAACACTCGACTAGATCACGACTCTTTGCTGTCCTTGCGCCGAAATGGTGGAACGAGCTCTCTGAAGACACCAGGACCGCAGAGAGCCTTCACATCTTCCGCCGCAAACTAAAGACACACCTCTTCAGACTCTACCTCGACTAAAGACTAACAAATTGTCGCACTTAAATTGTACTTGTAAAGTCACTCATCTATAGCAAATTGTAAATTGGCTTATTTGAGGAAATTGCACTTTCTTGTTTCTTGTTCTCCTGAGTTTGTACCCTATGGTTGAATGCACTTATTGTACGTCGCTTTGGATAAAAGCGTCCGCTAAATGACATGTAATGTAATAATGTAAACCCAAAACGACCTTCGGACATTTATTGGGTTGAAGGCCAGATTTTGCTGCGTCCAGAGTGAACGGTTGAGCTAAAAAGAAATGAGTCCAGCTTCGATCATGCCTAGAAAGGCAGACACGTGCTCAGTACGATGCCGTGAATACCTAGTTTTTTATTTCGGACCCCGTTTTTACCAACATACCAAGTAAAGTCTCTTTGTGGAACTGATGTTTTGTGAGAAAGGTGAACTCCCTCTTGTGGCTGCATAGAATGGAATGGTCTACAGTCCTGTGTGTCCCATTAAAGTAAAGTATACAATACAAAAGTTGAAAATCCATTAGTGTTAATCCACAAAGTTGCAGATACTTTTAACGGTTTGATTCCTTTGGAGCAAAAAAAAATATGTATTTAAGTTATTTTTAACAGTAACAGTAACATTTCATGCAAACTGGTGGCGAGTAGTGATCAAAGCTGCAGTGAAGTGTAACCATATTGCTCCATATCTTCCTCACTCTGACTTCTGCCAGACTTATTGAATTTAAGTTAAGGCCTTTGCATGAGATTATAAAATAATCAGAATTGCAAAAAATGACTGATAATACATTCTCATTTGAATTTGCAGTTTAAATCGAAGGAGAAGTGAATAGAACACCAATACTGGACTATATTACAGGTGTTTCTTCAGAACTTACACATGCTGAGGTACTGGACTTGTAAGTGTTTTTCTGTTAGCTATGTATCATTTTGACAAAGTATCTACAAGATAGACTGCATCCTTTATGATTTTGTATTTTGTAGACAGCATCGTATAATTCTGGCTGTGTTGAAGAGAAGTTATTTATTGGTTACACTATTCTGTAACATGTTGAAACTCGCTGTTTCTATTTTGTTATTTTAAAAGTTTTGCAGAGTCATTGTTTCTGCACCCCTTCGTGTCTCAACGCACAGGTTTTAAGTCCTTCATTCAGCATGTGATCAAAGTGCACACATCTGAGCGGTATAGCGCTAAATAAACACTATGCTTTTGTTACAACTACACTACGGACTATAAAAGCTATACTATGACTTTATACTTTTAAATGGATTTTGGCTGACAAATGTCAAAACAGGAAATATAGCAAATCCTGACATACTATAAAATGTTTAAAATATTTTCTGTGATTTCTTTTGACATTCTCAATACCATGACATCGGATGACTTTCACTGCATGCTTTTGATTAACTATCAGATTTAATTCTATGGAATATTTAGATATACTATTCTATAGTATGACTTCATAACATTACCATAAGTATCTAATATAATATGAAAAGAACCCATGTGGAGAAATAAGACTCTGAAGTTCTGGAAAATCCAAGTGTAAACAGTGCAACTTTTATTGATTTGTTTTAAAAGAAATTTGTGTGGCACAGTACTGATACAGACACCTCGTACTGCACATTGACACATGCAGTACGAGGTGCACATACAACCAATCGTATCTGACTGTCAAACAGTCCAATGATCAAAAACGGGAAATTAAAGGTGTAATGAAAAGATAAAACTCAACTCTGCTCAACTGCAGACAAACATGAGGTTAATCATCACTTTTAGTACACAAATTATTTATTGTTTTAGCACGTTTCCCATTTACAATTAATTAGTGATGAACTGAATACACTAAAGTACTGATGCGTATATATTGTCATGCAAATAAAGAAAACTGTTGCTGGTTCCAGCTCCTCAAATGTGATGATCTGCTTGATGTTGATGTACATTCACCGCAGTGTATCAATCTCTCTTCCTGTTTTTGTGTGGAGGCATTTGTAATCTACATCGTCACTGTCACTAACTCTGGATGGGACCCAAACTAAGAAATCGCTACATACCTCCACAGTTTACCTTCAAAATGTAAAGAAGAATCCAACTGTTCTGGGCGTGGTGGCATTTACACTGTATTACACATATTACACAACAATACACTGAAATTATCTTTTATATGCATATTACCGCCAAGTACACGTTAAAGCATAATTCACAACCCAACAGGCAGCGTTTGCATTCCATCCATTTCACTTCCACAGCGGGAACCTGCAGACTTGAGACTTGCTCAGGAATGTTGCATATGATCGACGTGTCAGCCGTCGGTTTCACTCAAATCACCGTTGCTTGTTTTTTGTAGATAACAGTTACTCAAGAGACGGGATGCTTTTTTCTTTTTTTGTATATGCTACTTTTTTCACAGTTTTAAGCAGGAAAATAGAGAAGGGAAAATATTTGTATTTTCCAAGCCCCAAAGTGGGAAAACACCAAGAAACACCATTCGGACTGAAGAAGGTACAGACATGTGTGGTTATAAGTTTGTGATTGACATCATCTCTGAAACATTGAGCTCACAACATCTGACCTACAATGCAACCCTTGACCCCAGCTGTAGACGCGCCTCCCCCCATCAGCATCAATAGCATTTCAAATCTTGACAAAACAAAAAAGCATGGTACTTAAGTACTTTATCCACCTGGTAAGTGCTCATGAATCTTAGAAAACAGTGAGAATCACAGCCACTTTCTTTCTCTGGCTCCCTAGAAACATTTGACGAGCGAGCGGATGTGAAGAAGCTCCCGATCGCATCATCCTGAGAACGACGGACTCGCTTCCCGTCTCTCCTGGAAACTACTGGAATCATTCATCTATTCTCCTGTGTCCATATCGTTGTATAGGCAAACTTCTCTTTTAAGAAAATATTTGTGGAAGGTTAAATGGAAATATACAATTAGTATTACAATAGAGTACAGAGCTATATGTTAAAAGTGATTAAAAAAAAAGGTTGATTGTATCTCCCTTTACAATGCACGCGTTTTCCTTGGTTCAAAGGCAAGAGGTAAAGTGTGTAAGTAAAAGGCCGCCCGTTAAGTCTTCCGAAAGCCTGCTGCTCGAGAATCAGGCGATCGCTTTTGCTTCTAGTAAGAAAGCCTCCCAGTACTTTATGAGCTGGGGAAGAAGGAAAGAAGAGACGTCAGTGTCTGACGGGACCAATATTTCCATATAGAAATGTGAAATATTAAATGTGCGACACTCACCTGTTGCTTAGACTGAAGATGACACTCCAAGTAGTTAATTATCTCTCTTTTGAAGTTCTTGGCCTTTTCTTTCTGTAGCGTCACATAAAAGATACAAATCAGTCATGAGTGTCATTTTCATCTGTGCACGTGAATGCATAAAGAGGAGCGTCCGTACGTCAAAGCGGTTCACTTCCTTGCGCACAGTGGCAGAAACTTTGTCAAAGTCTCTCTCGTACTGCGTCACTTTAACCTCCCACTGTGGAGGAGAGGAAAAGGTCGAAGGTCACAGACCAGTACGGGCACGTCAGGATATTGATTGAAGGAATGGTTATTAAGTGAAAATTCAGTTCTGCAAGTCAGAAATAATCTCATCTTCCTGAAAGAAATTATGTTTTTGAATGACAGGAAAATCGATGCAAATAAATGCAAATAAAATGTGACTCCATTAGTTTCACAGTGCTATTCAGAATGATACATCATTTTGATTGAAACAATCTGCCGCTTTTGGTGGGTTCGTACCTCAGCGATCTCTTTGGCCAGCTGCAGTTTGTCGGGCTTGTTGGCCCACAGCAGTTTGGCCTCCGTCTCCTTCTTCTTCTGCAGAGCGGCCTGAGTGTCCTGCCAGCGCTGCCACGCCTTCATCCGGTGATCAACGACCCCTGCAGGACGTGCACGCACACACACACACACACACACTACGTTTATATTTGGACATTACCTTTTGTCGTGAAGCCGAGGCTCATGTTCAAAACAGTTTAACTACATGACGCCGCTTTAGTGTTTGTTAAAACGTTATTTCGGTTGTGGTTATGTGTGTGTGTGAGATATTTATCTTCACAGGAATGTATTTTTGTCTCTGAAAGTCTCATTTTGAGAGAAGGATTCTCTGTACTACTTGAATCAAATAAAAATGGGCACACTCACTGCTTGAGACGTTGATCAATCAAAAGTCACTTCTCAGTCTAGTAAGTTGCTTTGGTGAACGTTGTAACTTTTTACCATGTCTGTATAGAGCAAATAGTTGATGATAAATATCATCACACAAATCTTAATTAAAAAAATGACTCATATCACATATCTGGTTTAAATTCACTTAAATGTTCACCTCCTAACTTTTTTAAGGGGAAGCGATTTGGTTAAACATTAACACTCCAAGTACCCTCACGGCTCCAAGAAGGCGGACGTAATCCGCGATGAGTTCGGCGAAGCTGAAAGTGTCGTTAGCAGCCTGCTCCTGGTGTAACTGCTCCATCTTGTCCTCCACCTCTGCCAGCTGGGAGAGAGCTCGGGACAGGGCGGTGTTGTCCTCTGCGCTGCCCAGCATGGCCGTGCTTTTGGCAAAACTGGCTGTGTTCAACGACAACTCTGGAGGGAAAGAGAGACGAACATCTATGTGACGCAGGCGCTGTCCACCAAAAAGATGAACAATAAATGAGGGGCATCTAGGGAGTCTGGAGATCTTTCTGGACGTGGGTTTGTGTGAAAATAACACTTTCTCTGTAGAACATTGGTAATGAGATCGGATGAGGAGCCCCCTGCTGGCCCTTAGAGAGAATGCAATCTTAGGCATTTCAACATGGGCGTAACTTTCAGACCCAGAGGTTGTGTGTTAAAATGATCCTCTTCTCTTTGCCATCAAAATCAGACTATTACATAATCAGCTTTGGACATGTATTGAAGGCCTAAGGCGACTAACCTTTCCTGTGAACGACCAGAGACTCGACCAGTGTGTGAAGCTTCCGGAACTGCTGGTCTGCAGACTCCACCTCCTGCAGCTTCTCTTCAAACCACTGCAAGACACACACACACACACACACACACACACACGCCAAAGAGTTTCTACGACTGCAACATCTGTTTAGCTCTATTACATTACAGTTGTATGCTTGTACTTTACCACAGTTTATTGGCTACCGAGGTGAATTAATTAAATTTTAACATGAGTTAACTGATTCATAACTCTTATTTTATCCAAATATTTTCTATACTTTCACACATGCACCTCAATGCTACATGTATGCAAATAATAATAATAATGCAAAAAATAAAAAGTGTTGATGTTTTTATGTCTCTCTGGGAGACTTTATCTCAGAAAAATTACTAAATGCATCTTAAAATCCTCTGAATTTTCTTCTTTTTACTCGGATTTCATCATAACGAAGATGAATCTGCTGCTTACAACAGTTTTCACTCCTGAGAAGCCGTGATGCAACAAAGCGTCTGATCACAGCTGAACTCACCACGTCCGACTCGTTCATCTTGATGGTCATTTTGCTGACGGCGTCTGTTGCTTTGTTGATCATCTTCAGGAAGCCGGCGCCGCTCAGAGCCTGTGTGCCCACTGCTCTGGGAAGCTGAGAGCATGAACGCATTTTACAATACAGACGATCAGCTAAGAATATAGCAAAATGTCAGACACTCAGAGGGTAGTAAGTATTTCTTTAAAAAATGTAAAAAGTACACATTTACAGTGGCTCACGCATGAACTAAATAACTGTTCATTTCATAGAGACACAACATCCCCACTGCCCTTCAAACGCAGCTTACTTCCTCTCTCTCCAGAAACTCTCTAACATCCGGATCTTGGAGAAGAGACGGATGATTCACGACCCTCTGGAGATATCTGTTGAATGAGGAAATGCAAAGAGAGGCCTAACTTTCCATCGCCAATAAAGAGCTTTATGGTTTTTGTGACTGAATTGACATGAAGCAGCTTTAATTGCCTCCCCCCTCCTTTACCTCTCCAGAGCAGCTCTTCTTCTCGCCACAAAGTCTGCAGATGAGGAATCTTCCTTTCCCACCTTCACCTTCGTCATACCTTTGCGAGATAACAACCGTTCTTAAAGCTGACTGAGAGATCACACTTAAACTCGCGGTATCATCAGTAAAGCCGAGTCAGCCTACCCAGAATGCTCTTCTCGGGGGGCGGAGGCACGATGAAGCCATTGGGTCCGTGCTTTTCAGACAGCTTCTCGTAGAGGCCGAGGAAGTCGCTGAAGCGTCGCCTCGCTGTAAAGGTCTTGTAGCGGAACATGGCCAGCTGGGTCTGAAACACATTCACGTCGTTGGTCGAGTGTAATCCACCAACGAGGCTTTAAGCTTGAGCTACTACTAAAGAATTCTCATGTAATCTCAGTTTCCCTTTTCAAGACCGGTGCGTTTTTCCGTACAAGACGCTGAACAGTCCTTCCTCTCATGACAAAATGTCACCACACATCCAACTGGGCAAACGTCCTCTGGATTAAAGATGACCAACTCTAGGTTAAATGTAATGCTCCATTCAACACGTTTTTACCTGTGTGGTTACTTTGTAGGCCATGTAGGCGTTCATCCCATCACCTGGACAAAGAAAACTATTAAAGTCAGTGCAAGAAATCACTAGTTTCACTAATTAAGGGCTTAGTCTCGAAGTTTGAAAAATGTAATCAAGTATCTGAAAACAACCGGTGCTTGCTTAATGTTTATAGCACATAGGCAGAGGTGTCAAAAGTATTCACATTCATTACTCAAGTAGAAGTACAGATACTGGGGTTTAAAAAGACTCCTGTAGAAGTTGAATTATCAACTCAAGGTTTTTACTTAAGTAAACATATAAAAGTACTGGTTTCAAAACTACTTAAAGTATAAAAGTAATGTAAGAAATTCCATTAGGGACAAACTCTTAATGCGTAACCTCGCTCACACAACACGTCAGTCCGTTACAATGTGATCGGGAGGTGCCTGCAGATCACGTGACCTGATAATTAAAAAAACATTTAGGACAAACCCACGGTCATGAAGATACTCATTTAACGTTACATGGAATCTGCGTGAGGAAGAGGAGGAGGCTCCTGTTAAGAGTGTATGAATGCATGTACCTGTAACTGTTTCCTGGGTCGTGATATCAAGAGCACCATTCCCATATAAGGGCAGTGTTCCCTCCCCTTTTCTCTGTGTGTACCCGTCACTCCCGTGAGCGGGCAGTTGAGCATGTTCTGCTTACATTAAAGAATGCCACGAGTCGGATGGCTAAAGAGATAAACGCCTGGACGTCCGTTCATTCTCCGGAAATCATTGTTCCGCCGCGCAGGTAGGCCGAATAAATAAGCCTACCTGTCAACAGGTTATGGGCCCAGGAACCGGGAATGATTCCAAAGTTTGACGGACTTGCGCGTCGATGGCTAGCATGACCGCGCTAGCATACAGAAGTATCCAAAAGAGCTAGTTTAGCATCGGGAGAACCGGGAAGCTAAAGCTAGGCTAAATAAACGGGAGCTAAACCGAACTACAAACAGCCATGGCAAACCGAAGCAAGAGCCAGTGGCCCACTTTTGACGGGAGGGCAGAAGAGTATGAGCTCTGGGAAGAGAGGATGCTGTGCTGCATGCACGGGGTGGGGCTGAAGCAGACAATCCTGACAGAGCCCGCTGAACCACTGTCGGAGGAAGACAGGGCTAAAGACGATAAGCTGAATGCGGACGCCTACTGTGCATTGGCGCCGCTGCTTGACAACACGAGCTTGGGGCTGATATTCAGAGACACAAAGGACAAGGGCCGAGAGAGTCTCAGAGTGTTAAAAGAACACTACATCGGAAAAGGTAGGCCCCGGATTGTTTCCCTGTACATAACAATGACAGCGCTGAAGAAAGCTGACAACGAGACCGTAACCAAATACATCATCAGAGCTGAGCAGATCATTACAGCACTCAGGAGCGCAGGCGAAGCACCGAGCGAGGGACTGATGATGGCGATGATCATGAGGGGATTACCGGAGAAGTACAAGCCGTTCACACTGATGGTGACGCATGGTTCAGCTGACATGACACTGGGAGAGTTCAAGGCAAAGCTAAGAAATTTTGAGGCTTCAGAAGACGCAGACCCAGTCCTAGAAGAGGCAGGAGAAAGGGTGCTGAGGGCGCAAGCGGCGCCGAGGAAAAAGACTGGACTAGTGGAGATGGTGTGTTGGCGGTGCGGAGAAAAGGGCCACAGAAGGGATGACTGCACAGAGAAAGTTTGGTGCAGTTTTTGCAGAAGCAGGGGGCACACCGACAAAGCGTGCACAAAGAAGGAGCGTGAGCGGGGCGCCCGGTGCGCATGTGTACAAGATGGCGGCGGTGGCCGTAGGCCCGGGTGTGAACCAGACGGCGACCGGGGAGCCGCGGGAGGAGAAGACCGCACCTTCAGGGCACAAACAGAAGATGCCAGTCTCTCAAGGAAAATGCTGCAGACCCAGAGAAGGGGAATGATCGTGGACACGGGCGCGTCGTCCCACATCATCAACGATAGAAGCAAGTTCAAAAGCTTTGACAGCACCTTCAGGCCGGAGAGACACAGTATGGAGCTTGCAGATGGGAAGCGTACTGTCGGTGTGGTGAAAGGCAGGGGAGACGCACAGGTATGTCTCATAAGCAGTGGGGGGCACCGGTGTACAGTGACATTAAAGAACGCTCTCTACATTCCCTCGTACCCTCAAGAACTCTTCTCAGTGAAGTCTGCTACCGCCCACGGTGCCAAAGTGTTTTTCGATGAAGGAAAAGACGTTCTAGAGTCAACGGATGGCACAAGGTTTGAAATCTATGTATGTAAGAGAATGTACTACCTGCAAACCGAGTGTGATCTAGATGATGTGTGTCACGTCAGCTATGATATTCAGACATGGCATGAGGTAATGGGTCACTGTAATTACGACGATATCTTGAAATTGCAGGACGTGACAGAGGGCATGCACATTAAAGGTCCAAAGCGCAGGCCTGATAAAGAATGTGCAGTATGCATAGAGGGGAAGTTCACGCAGACGAGAAACAGAGACCCGACTAACAGAGCAAAGACGCCGCTTGAGCTGGTGAACACAGACCTAACCGGCCCAATTAACAATGAGTCCATAGATGGTTTTAAATACATGCAGTCTTTCACAGACGTGTGTACGGGGGCAGTGCTGGTCTATTTTCTGAAAGCAAAAAGCGATGCAGTTCAGGCTACAGAGAAGTACCTGGCAGATGTGGCGCCTTACGGCACTGTGAAGTGCATCAGATCAGATAACGGGACTGAATTTACTAACCGAGAGTTTCAGACACTACTGAGAAAGAACAAAATCAGGCACGAGACTTCCTGTCCTTACTCTCCGCACCAGAACGGGACAGCTGAAAGGGAAGGGCGAACTCTTTTCGAGATGGCCAGATGTAAGCTCATTGACAGTGGCTTACCTAAGAGCCTTTGGCACTATGCCATCCAGGAAGCAGCCTATACCAGGAACCGGTGTTTCAACAAGCACACAGGCACTACCCCATACACAGCACTGACAGGTAAAAAGTGCAATTTAGCCGATATGCATAAATTCGGGTCCGAGTGTTATGCCTACCAGCAAGACAGAGGCAAACTAGATTCTAGGTGTGACAGAGGATTCTTTGTAGGGCACGACAAGGGCAGTCCCGCCTACCTAGTTTACTACCCGGGCAAAGGAAAAGTACAGAAGCACAGGCTGGTAAAGTTTGTCACCAAGACAACCTGTGAAAATGAGACTCAGACTCAGGAGCTAGGACTGGATCCCAAAGGGGGTTGTGATAAGGGAGTAGAGACTTCACAGCCTAGCGTACCGAACACCGATGTATTGACTGACCGTCCACAATCCGCATCAGAGGACGACTGCGAGAAGCATCCTAGGGAGACGCCACACGACAGTGGGAGATACCCTACCAGAGAGCGTAAAGCCCCGGGGTATCTAAGAGATTATTCTCTGGAAGATGCTGATGACGACAGTACGCTAACTAGTGTAGATTATTGCTACCGAGCAGTTTGTGGTGTGCCTCTGACCTTTAAAGAGGCCATGACATCAACTGAGTCAGGAAAGTGGAAGAAAGCAATGGACGAGGAGATGGGGTCCCTAGAAGACAACCAAACCTTTACCCTGACTAAGCTACCAGAGGGCAGGAAGACAGTGGGAGGAAAATGGGTATATTCGATTAAGGGAGACATTGACGGAAACGACCAGTACAAAGCTAGGTTTGTAGCGAAAGGATACAGCCAGAGAGCAGGGATAGATTATGGCGAGACATTCTCACCGACAGCAAATCTGACAAGTATTCGTGTAGTGATGCAGAAGGCAGCCCAAGACGATTTGATTCTGCATCAAATGGATGTGAAAACCGCTTACCTACATGCCCCTATTGATCGAGACATCTACATGGAACAACCTGAAGGTTACAAAAAGGAGGGAGATGAGCTGGTGTGTAAACTAGAGAAGTCAATCTACGGCCTGAAGCAGTCGGGGCGAAATTGGAATGAGATGCTCCACACCTGCCTAGTAGATGACAACTTTATTCAGAACCCGACAGACCACTGTGTTTACACAAAAGAGTCTACAGAGACAGGGAAGGTATTAGTGGTCATTTGGGTGGATGATCTGATCATCGCAGCCAGCAACACCCAGAGTTTGGAGAGGGTGAAAAACATGCTTTCTAACAGATTTAAGATGAAGGACCTAGGCAGGTTGAAGTATTTTCTGGGCATGGACTTCATCCAGTCTGACGGCTGGGTAAAAGTGTCACAAAGGAGGTTTGTTGAAAAACTACTGAATCGTTTCGACATGCAGGAGTGTAGGGTTAGAGAAACCCCATGTGAACCAAAGCTAGAATACTCTGAAGGTGCGCCTAAAATCTCTGATGTGAAGAAGTACAGGGAGGCTGTCGGCAGCCTCATTTACCTGACAACCTGTACACGCCCAGACATATGTTTCGTAGTGAACAAGTTATCACAACATTTTGCTGACCCTACAGATGAGCATTGGGTCACGGTGAAACATGTTTTGCGGTACCTCAGAGGTACTGCAGACAAACAGCTCTGTTTCACAAAAAGCCAAGGAAGCCTAGGCATACAAGCATATAGCGACGCAGACTGGGCTGCGGATGTTAGTGACAGACGCAGTACCACCGGGTATTGTGTGAGTATGAGTAAAGGTAGTTCATTAGTATCTTGGAAAACCAAGAAGCAACCCACAGTAGCACTCTCCACATGCGAAGCCGAGTACATGGCTCTAGCTCTGACAATACAGGAGTGTATTCACTTGGAGCAACTACTGGGAGGGATGGATTCCTATGTGTATGAGAAAACGGTTGTCTACGAGGATAACCAGGGAACAATTGCGCTTGTTAGGAACCCGGTGTGCAGACAACGGTTTAAGCATGTGGACATAAAATATCACTTCATCAGGTCTACCATAAGGGAAGACAAGATGTCCCTTGTTTACTGTCCCACCGACAACATGGTCGCAGACGTTATGACAAAGCCTGCCTCCAAACTTAAGTTAAAGAAATTCGGGGAAATCATGTTTGGTGTATAAAATGTTGATATTTGACTATGCCATG